GTGTGATGCCATCATGTCAATATGGACCAAAATCTCTGAGGAATGCTTCCAGCACGAAGAATTGAGGCAGTTCTGAAGGCAGAAGGGGGTCCAACCCGTTACTAGCGTGGTGTACCTAATAAAGTGGCCGGTGAGTGTACATCACAATTAACATGGAACTGAATGCAGGTGAGACATCTCGCCTGACACGCCTTCATTAACATATGTTAAACAGATGCTAATTACTTCCTGCATGTGTGAAGGACATGTTTGTTTGATCTCTGCGCGATGAGAAATGATTTCTAGAGTCAGGAAAATTATGAATTTAATATAATGTGAGTGAGAAAAAAATCCTAAGTAAGAATATGTATAAAATATGTTTATTAAGCAAAGAACGAGTGATTGTGTGTCGGTGTGTGTGTGCGTGCGCTGCTGTGATGCGCAACCGGCGCATCCATCCATTCTGAGTCTGAAAATATTAACTTTACGCAGGAGTTTATTACCATAATTACTGTAAACACAGAGGAACTTAGATGTTTGGTAGAACATAGATCTTAGTTTATTTCATAGCTGATATGAAGAAACGAGTCTCTGCGTCTCAGTAGAGAGTTTTCATGACGTGACGTGATGTATAATCATATGGATGAGATGATTCCACTGGGCATGATTCAGCTTTGGGTGGACTGAACTGACACAGTCCCGATCGGTCTGCCAGCTCCCTCTGGAAAACTCCTGTGGAACCCCAGTTCAGTCGCTGCTGTTGCACGCGTGGCGCACGGCTTCTCGCTGTGTTGCGCTCCAGAGCGCAGCAGTGCCAAACTGAACACAGGATTTTTCCTCAAAACGGCTGATGAGCCACTCGTCATCGTGGATCAGAAATTTCTATCTGTTGATAAATAAACGCTCTGCGTGCTACACTATTTATTATACCCTCCAGTAAGGCTGAATCAGTTCCTGTTAAATATATTTTTGGCACAACTTTGCACGTCCTTTATCTAACTGCGTCCATGTGGATGTAATAATTGTTCATCATGTGTGTCTGGTGTGAACAATAATCATTTTCACATCATGAACAGTTTGTCAGAATCACCTCTAAGTGTCGCTAATGGAACCAAAACCATAGAAACGTGCGTACACCAGCCCTGGAGTTGAGGCTGCACAGATTTCCACCTTCATTTCAGTTTTGATACATTCGGAGTTTTGCGTGGAAAATGGCGTACTCAAGGTTTTCGTGCGTACGCACCACTGAAACATGAGGCCCCTGCTGTTTTCTCACCATCTGCCTTCTTTGGGCTTCACTCAAGAAGTATAAGGATTTATTTATCATTAACTTTTGTTTAACCAGGGAAATTCCACAGACCTTTTTTTTCCAAAGAAAGGTCTGGTCCTGAAGGCAGCATTAACATACTAGGGGTGCAACAATACATGCACCGTATTGAACCATATCAAACAGTGCTTTAGGTTCAATACACACTTGTATGGAACAATACAGATTTTTTAAAATTAATTTTATCAACTTGTCTTCTGAAGATGCTCTGTGTTGAAGGATCAGTGGATCTGTGTTCGACTACTCCACCTAGGCTGCATTTTTGAGTGCAGATCCACTGAGAAACTTGCTGTTTCAGCAACATTTAATTTAAAAACTGTACTTTTGAGGTTAAACAAATATTCATAATTAATTTAAATAAATTACAAGTTAAAAGGGGCATGGACATTTCTCTTTTTTGTATCGAAAAAATATCGAACCGTGAGACTAAAATATCGAACCGAATCGTGAATTTTCTGTATCGTTGCACCCCTAATATAAACAGTATTTTTGGATCATGGGAGGAAACCAGAGTACCAGGAGAAAACCCACACAAACACAAGGAGAACATGCAAACACCACATAAATGACCCCAGGTCCAAACGGACCTCCTTGCTGTGAAACAGTGCTATTCACTAATCCATCAGACTACTATTAAGTGTTATGCTGACGACAGTCAGATATATGTATATTACTGAAAAAGAAAGATGCCCTCCACTTTTTTAAAGTCTTGAAGACATCAAAGCCTGGACGTTTTACATTTTAACAATAAGGAAACAGAAGGGAGTGTATTTGGTCCCAGTGGCCTCTGTGAAACTTCCCCTGTTGGTCTGGGTTTCAGGAGCTGCATGCCAATCAAATACTTTAATTTAGGTTTGAAAATAAACAGTGATTTTAAATTTGATATCCAGAGTAAATCAGAGGTCAAGTCCAAAGTTTCTAATGTTGTGCAGCAAGCAAAGCTAAAGTCCAAAACAGCACATTGAAACATTAATTCATGCCTTTTGTAAATAATTCCACAGAAGTGAGTTAATGTTAAAATAATAAAGTAAATATGTTTTTAAATGGACACAACCACAGACCAAGTGACCCAGTGGGTTTTGCTTTCTGAAGATGTGAGTAATTCTGTTGAGCTTCAGTTTCCTGAGTGCCAGTCAGAGATGAATAATGTTCTCATGTCAACAAACATTGAGAACCTCAGTTACTCTGTCCACTTTATACGTCTGCAGAGGACACCTCCAGCTATTCAAATGATTCAGTATCATTTCCCATCAGCACATCACTCGGAACTACAATCTGCCTATAATCCTCCTGCTGACTGCAGAACTGCACGGAGCAGATGACTGATGCTTTGATTCATGGATCTTCTTTGTAAATCCAGAACTTATTAAACACTTTTAATTAAATCTGACAGCAGAATGTTTCAAAGCCACCAAAAGCTGATCACTGTGCAGCTTAGAAACTCCACACGTCCTCACGCCTCCCTGTATCTCAGCGCGGTGTTTACAGAAAGCTAACAACCATTCTGCTTTAAAGCAACGCGGACAAATAATACTTAACCACATTAAATGCTGAGTCAGCATTCACAATATTCTTTTCCTGTTCATACTTTCTTCTGAACTTTTTGTTTTGCAATCAGCTACATCCACATGCTTTGTGCATTTTAAATATTCATGTATCAAACGGTTCAGATGGACTGAGAACAGTGTGCTGTGACTTTTATTTTTCTGTTCAAAACATAGAACTTTATTTAAAATAAAATGCAACATAGAAAGAAATTCTTTCATTTTTTTTAAATGCGCTTCAGTATACTTTCTTACATTACTTTTAGTTTTTAGCTGTTGTTTTGCTACTTTTATCTTCTATGTATCTCTTTATGTATATTTTGGCTTCTTTTAGGACTGAGATAACATTTTGATGCTTTCAACCTTTAGCTACAATTTTGTTGATTTTTTACCTACCAATATGCTTGTTTTAGTTTTCAGCTCAACATTTGTGATTTTTAGCTTTACACTAATATTTTAGTCATTTTAGCATTTTGCAAAAATTGAGCTAATTATAGTTTTGCTCAATTTAATTTTAAAGCGACTGTAATGATATTTTTGGCTTTTAACAACTATTGTAAGTTTACATTTGAGTTAATCTCTTTAATTTCAGCCGCGACATGTCATGGTGGGTGGACGGTTTGGTGTAGTTGGACCCAGAATGCAGATGGAGGCAAAGTGAGAAGAAGAACTGAAAACCTTATTTTAAGCTAAAGTTAAAACAAAAAGCTGACAAACCTGACTGAGGTAACTCACCCAACAACCTGGAATACTGGAAACAGAAAGACAACTAATGCCAAACTGAGGAGGAACAGCAAAGACTGTAAAGTAACAATAATGACAGCAGTGATAAACATCTGCTGGGAGACAAACAAACAGGTGAGTGTGGGCGGGGCCAACTAACGAATAAACCCAATCTAACACAAAGAGGGATTAGTTAACATCACAAAATACACAGATCCCAGCAAGGTGGGGCTTGACCAGAAATACTGACCAGGTTTGAAAGAAGGAAGGAAGGAAGGAAGGAAAGAAAGAAAGGAAAGAAAGGAGGAAAGAAAGAAAGGAAGGAAGGAAGGAAGAAAGGAAGAAAAGAAAGGAAGGAAAGAAAGGAAGGAAGAAAGGAGGAAAGAAAGAAAGGAAGGAAAGAAGGAAGAAAGAAAGAAAAGAAAGAAAGAAAACAAGGAAAGGAAGGAAGGAAGGAAAGGAAGGAAGGAAAGGAAGAAAGAAAGGAAGGAAAGACAGAAAGGAAGGAAGGAAGGATGGGAAGAAAGAAAGGAAAGAAAGGAAGGAAGAAAGGAAGAAAGGAAAGGAAGAAAAGAAAGGAAGGAAGGAAATGAAGGAAAGAAAGGAAGGAAAGAAAGAAAGGAAAGAAAAGAAACAAAGGAAGGAAAGGAAGGAAGGAAAGGAAGGAAGGAAAGG